TTTGAACACCGAGTCGGACACGGCACGTAACACTGTGTAAGGTCCATTCCAATGAACCTTGAGTTTAGGACATCTTCCTTTGGTCCTTGACTTTGACGCAATCCACACACATTGTCCTGGGATGTACTTAATCTGGTTTGACTTGGTGCCATACTTTTGTTTCTGGTTCTCGGTTGCTTGTATCCATCGGGTGCAATAATCTGAACTGGTAACATTGTACTTGTTACCCTTCTTGGTCCGTGGTAAATGACCAAGGATATCAATATCCACTTGTTCCAGTGGTTCCCTAACTAAACATTGACCCGGTTTTCCTCTGACTTCCCTTGGTTGATTCTTCTTTGAGTCACCAACGGTACAGTCTCTGATATGTTTCTCAGCGTCGTTTGTCTTCTTCTCGTCACGAGGTTCACATAGTCGTCGGTCATCATTATCATCGTGTAAAGCTTCTTGAACGCAAATGTTGAACACAGGATTGTGTTCACTCTTAAGGTCACATGGTAACTTATTCTTTCCCAATGTAAGAGTTCCTTCACCCAAATTTGATTGACAGTTATGCTGTTTAAGAAAATCAAGGCCTAGAATCATATTTGACTCAACGTCAGCGACGAACACTTTATGTTCCGTAACTTCACCATTAATATCAATTTGAAGTTCAGTCTGACCTTCTGGTACAACTAAATCACCGTTTGCCATTTGTAAGTTACTATGGTTTGGAAATAATTTAGGTCTCACACATCTTTCTATCTCGTAATATTTCTTTGGGTGGATAACTGTTATTACTGAACCTGTGTCAATGACACAATTAAATTTCACATTGTTAACCAGTACATCAATTGTTAATAAGTTTGCACTGCGAGTATTTGAGTTCTTTATTCCAAAAACATGTGGCCTTTTCTGTTTTGTAGTTGACGTTTGGCCGCCGACGTCAACTACTGTGCGTTTCCCTGGTTCTCGGGTTCTCTGGTCGTCACGTCTTTTACGTACTCTGGTTTTCTTTGGTTTCTGTATTTTTCATTTTTTAGTTGCCGTTGTAGTAACCTGCATTCTCTTTTGATGTGACCATCTTTCTTACAGTAGAAACAGGGACCTTTCCTGTAAAGCTTCTTATCTGTGTTTTGGTTTATCATGGCTACTAGGTCTGTTTCGTAATTATTTCTGTCGGTATACGTTGGTTCCTCTGTCTGCATTCGCACTGCAACTGTATTTCGTCTCCCCCTTGCTTGTTGAAAGGCCTCATATTCTAATGCCAGTCGCACTGCATCTTCTAGGTCTGTAGGTTTTCCTTGAAATACTGCCCATTCCATTTCTTGGTCATTTAAACTTCCGATGAACGAATCTTTCGTTATCTGGTCACGGAAACCTAGGGGTGCGTTCGGGTATGACATCCTCGTAAGTCGCTTTATGTCTTGCATTAATTCTGTGATCGTTTCGTTTTTCTTCCGTATTCGGCTCTTTAGTTGCGTCTTGTAGATTTCTGTTTGATTTTCTGGGTCAAATCTTGCTGATAGTGCGGTAACAAGGTGACGAAAATTATGCCGATATTCTGGTTGTAGGTCACTCAAAACGTTTAGTGCCGGGCCGCGTAGACTGGTAGCTAACTCTAATGCCTTTGTTTCCTCATTCCAGTGGTTCAATTGGGCGATCATGTCGAAATGCACTATGTAGTCGTTCCAGTTCATGGTACCATCGAACGTTGCTGGTTTTCTCCCTTTAGGTTCCGGGGTACGCCTGAATCCGTGGTCATGGACTTGTCTTGTGTGACCATAATTTGGTACATCGTAATCAAAGCTGCGCATGGTCCGCTGAAATTCGTTGGTCCTAGCATTGGTAGTGTAACTTCGTTGTAACGTCGGGTTTAACAAACTTGTCCTTGAATGTGCATAATCACGAAAGTCATCATATGAATTTTGTGGAGATGTATTTCTGTATGGTCGATGTTCACTGCGTATTTGGTCATCTTTGGACATAGCACTGGTACCGGATTGAACGCAATTTTGGTCTACATATTGGTTGGTAGAACTCGTTGGTCTCACTTGAGATTGTAATAGGTTCATCTGGGACTTCAAGGTTTTTAATTCTTGTAGAATTGTGAGTAGAGTATTGTCGGTACATGCGTTGACTGCACTGCCGTCTCCTATCTGGTCGTTGTTATTAACCCGCAAAAGAACTTCTTTGCTTGGAGTATCGTCGATAAACTGTAGTTCTTTTGGTTCTGTATTATGGTCACTTTCCTCAATCAATTTTTCGTTCCTAGACATCTTTGTAATGGTTTAGGTTCACAATTCACAGAAAAGCGGATCCCACCGCTGCCACCAATGTAACGAAACCGAGGGTATCGTGTAATAATACTCGTGGGCCGCTATTAGTTTTCTGGTCACTTGGTCGAGGTTTGATGGTTCCGTTGGTCACAGTTTATATTATGGTTAATGAGCAATTTTGGTCACTTAATTGGTAAATGGAATTACCAACTTTTGGTCACTTGTTTGGTTGACGTTATGACCAACTTTTGGTCACTTGTTTGGTTGACGTAATGACCAACTTTTGGTCACTTCTTTGGTTGACGTAATGACCAACTTTTGGTCACTTTAGATAATGTTTGTTAGGAATAACACTTGTTTAAAGTTTATAACATTTATTAAGACGATCAAATGGTTCACTTATAAACACACAAAATGGTACACTGTAACTTGGTTGGTACAACGTTATTTGGTTAAGAAAATGGTGACCAACCGATGGTCAATACAGGACGTTCCTACTAACTTGGTCCCCTTAATGGTTTCGTATACATAGACTTGGTACCGTCTTATAACCGAAGTATACGGAGTCGTTCCCCAAAGTGACTTAGGTCACTTTTCCCTTACCAGGGAAGGCTGTGTGCTCCGAGTCGCTCCCCACAGCCGACTGAAGTCTAAACCCAAAACAGCTGGTTTATATAGCCAAAAGTTGTTATGATGACGTAAGAGACAATCAGATATCTAAATTACGTCACAATCAATACAATCAATAAGTTAGCGGGTTTAACCAACAAAATAACCTACTAAATTAATAACGTTGTACCCATATAAAACATACAAAATACACCAGTTTCTCATTAAATTATACATGTTAAATTAATAAAGTCATTAAATCAATTATTGTTCATTTCTTTCGTTAACTGTTCATTGACAATTATTTATGGAGTTTATAAACATCGGGTTCAAGTTCCATATATTCCAAACTTGTAAACAAGAATTAACCCGAATTTCACAGGTACACTTCGTGAAACGTAACAATATAATAGTGCTTGTATCTAATCTAAGGTATCGATTCAAAGTTTATATGTTTAAGATTGCGACCATGCAGAAGAAAACAAAGAATAAATTTCTGATTATCTCCCACGTAAGCATAAACCCAAATATTATGGCAAAACATAACAGACAACTTGTACTAGCAGAGGTTTTGTGAAGTGTATGGTATGTTCAGACACTTGACTTGTAACTTCTTCCTTAACTAAAACTTTCTTCATTGGAATGTAAAATCAGCATCATACTGTTCTTGCAAGATGTTTCGTATCTTTGAAGAGCCAATTTTACTGACTTAGCTCTTTTTCCCAATGAACCATGATCCTAATTTGGAAACACATTTTTTAAAGCATCATTAGACTTTGCTTTTCTTTGTATCAAATGCATGATACAGGAATGACAGAGTTATTGAGAGTCTTCATTTCCATGGAAATTTTTTCAATTTTTATTATTATTATTATTATAATTATTATTATTATTTTTCTAAAAAAATGTACTCTCACGAAAATGCAAAAGCAAATCTATGAGTACTCCTATAACATATTCAAGAAGTACGATTTAGCAATCGAGAACTAGAAGACAGTAAAACCGTGGTCTCCTATTCACTATGTAGCATATAACACGTCAATGCATATGATACTTTCATACTGTTTTTGCTCTTAGTGGTTAATTGGTTGATATCCTAATTATTTTTTTCACGGCAGGATGGGGGTCTTGTTTGACTAGAAAATCCAGTCTGATGAAGGGGAATTGGTCATATATTGTGCTTTAAACCTGTTTTAAAAAAAATAAGTGTTCGTGATGTTTGATGGATGACCTATTGCAATATTTGGAATCGATTGAAATCAATATCTTGCAGGTATTAAAAAAATATATGGTAAAATATCTTTCAAGATAATCTTCATAAGTAAGAACAATTGCCATGTCATCTTTAAATACTATCGTTAGAGATACCTGTCAAGCTTTTTTTCTCACTTGCAAAGTAATGTGTACTTAAAGAGAGAGACAAATCGACATACACATCACATCAACGGTAGGGGAGTCCATAAGATACAAATGAGGTATAAAGGTTAACAAATGCATAGGAAAAATTATTATACAGGTTTAAGAAATAAATTTTAAACTTGGAAACAAACCCAGATAATGAAAATTCTTTAATATGCATGTATAAACACAATTCCTTAGATAAGGCAATCGTTTGAATTTGTCAAACATAGAACGTGATCATCTTACCTCTGCATGAAGACACACGGCATTAAGATAATAACCACATGTATTGACTGGGAAAAAAGGATTTATACTGATGTTTTAAAGAAACCTTTAAAATACTTTAACAAGTTTATAAGACATTTTTATATAATATATACTACTGTGCCTCAATTTTTGCAGCAATGTTAATGATGCAATGCGTTCAAAACGAAATACCGGTATCAGAGTTGAAACCTTAGACAATTTATATTGAGGGTTCTGTGATTTGTTATCGCATGCCTTTGTATATCACATGTCGGTCAATTATTTTCAAGTGTTGCACGAAAATCGTTTCGACGCTAGTGATAAAGAGTTTACTGGCAAATTAAATTTGTTGGTCACGTGATCAAAAGCGTTACACTTATGGCAGTTCAGAATCTTAAGTCTAGGCCAAGATAACAGTGGTGAAAGTAGGAGCATTTTTATTTCAGACAACTTCCGACAACTTAAAGAAAAACAACTTGCTCAGTTATTTGCATCACAGATATCTTTAAGATTATGATAAAGACAATTATAGTTTTCACTGATATACTAATAAGTCTTTAGCAGCGTCAGTCCAGTCAGTTTTTTTTTCATTTCGTTGACCTCTCCTCGTTTGATTTTTGCTCAGGTTTCACTCTTTTTTTCTTGTGTCGTTTACATAAAAGACAGATAAAAAGACTGCAAAGCCCCGCGAGTACCACCGCTCCGGCCGCCGCAATACCAGCTATCACCTCAACTAAAAAACAAAATAAACCGTATGAGGGGACGTCGAAGGACTACTATTAAATATTTTTACAAGAATGAAACATTGGCAGTTGACGTTTGAATATTGTAAACTTCCCCTCTCCTAAACTTTTGAAAGTTGTTTTCCCTTAGGACGCGAAACCCTGGCCCTGGTAGTCTGAGGAAGGAGATTATGCAATTGTAACTGGACGTTTATCCATACACTATGGACATTCTAATGGAATTATCGTCTAATTTTTTGGGTATGCTAAGGCATTTACGACGTATGATTGGACACGTTAGATAATTTAAATTTCGGGAGAAGATATTAATTAGAATGGTATAAGGTGTACTTTAAGATGGGGCACAACCTATATCTTCGCTGGTGTCTGTCTGTGGTTTTCAGGTATCAAATAGAATCGTTCAACTGAGAGTATACAAATATGTTTCTAAAACCCACAAGGATGTTAACCTACTATTATCTGTTTCACTCTAATCATAGAGAGTCCTATCGATGATATGAAATTTCTAAATGCCTGCGAAATATAATACAATTGCACAAATGTGTTAGAAAAAATAAACATATTGCCTATACTTTGTGCCCAGTGTTATCTTTTCTATGCAAATTTAATGTGTATTGGTAGAAGTTTGAAAAATTGTACTGTTTGTTGATACGTACTCAAGGACATATTAAGTGAAAACCATTTAATGTTTTTTTAATAGAATTTCCGGGTCATCAAAAGTATGTAATTTCATTGCCTGCATATTACGCAATGGTCTGATGCACTGTGACTTTGGCAGTATTTTGAAATTATTTGCATTGCATGTATGTTATTAAAACTCTCCATAAACTATAATAGTCTTACTGGGTAAGTCTTTACTTTTTCCATCGTCTTCTTTAGTTACATTGCCCACAGAATGAAGAGTCTTTCCTGAAAGTAAAAAATAAATGTCTTGAAAATATTCATGTAAGAATTATTTTGTATTATTGCTTTACTGACATAGGATTATTTAGTCTTAGCTTGACTGACATTAACAAACTTAATGCATGAAGATCTATGGTTTAGCAAGCCTTATAGTTTACCTCTTAGGAAAATAACAACGGCAATGATAGAGAAAGGTCTTTCTAAGCATATTTTTTCTATACATATAACACATACAGAAGGAGTATCTCGTTTATCTCAATTGCATTCTAGGCCATATCATTTTTATGACAATAAAACCTTAAGACATTGTCTAAGCAATCGTTGTTATGCATTGTCATTTTGAACACGAAACGATGTATATGTTGAGCAATGGCTTTTACATACATTTTCAATTATTTAACCTGAATAAAAAGCGATTGAAATATTAAGGATAGCCAAAAGCGTTCCTTCAGTTGGTCATGTCTGGGATTAAGGTCATAATTCATCAAAAGAGATAGAATCACACTAACTTTATTGATTTTCAGTCATTTTATTGCCACTAAATATCTTGCAATACATAGTTTTAATTCTAGGCTGATTTAAAACACAGAACGACAAAGTGTTGTATTGAGGCATGCCTTTATGTTTAATCATGAAAACTAATGCAACTATGTAACATTTGCTTTTATTTATTAAAATGTTACTAGGTTGGTTGTGTTTAGGTTGCAAAATGTAGCCCCTCTCCAATATTTCGATGGAGGAGGGTTACAATTCTTAACTTGACTACTGTATCATGCAGTTGTGGATAACAATTAACTTAATTCTGTAAAGTGTTTTGCTAACATGGCTCATCCTTATAAGGTCGGACACTAAACAAACAAAGAACAAACAAGACCTCGGAGATACTAAGTCGACACTTTCTTTGCTGTCCTACCCCTTTCCAACTTTAGTAGTTTCTTTTGGCTTGATTCTCTTACTGGGAAGCACCAAGCAAATTGAAACTTTGATAAGTAGTTAGGTACTATAAACAGAAAAAATCCACTGTCACCTCAAATGCGCTTTTTATAATTCTGCTTTTTTACCGAAAAGCCCAATGCGAAAGGTGAAGAGATAAAGAAACAATCATAATTTATAATTTGTTTGAAGGATGTCGCTGAAAAATATCAAATTAAGTTGGTCAAAGGCCTCACCACAATCTATTGGCCCAGGGTTCCTGAAGTTGTGTTTTTCCTTCCTTTGTGTTGGAAGGAAAACGCGTTAAGGTTAACGTTGGTGGTATATAAAAAATGTACAATATCAAATGTTTGAGTTTCTGATGCTATGTATTTTTCTAAGATCAAGTTTTCCAATAATCTGTCCGAATGTCCGACACTACCTGCTGCGCTACTGTTGTAAGCAGAGTTATGTTTGCATTTATATGAAGCAGAATTTATTTTAGAAAAATTCTACATGAGAAAAAGAAGACTTGTTATGGCCTTCAACTCGACATCCAGATATAGCGCCGACGTATTATCACTTAAAAAAACTTTCATGTGTCGACTCGATGTATCTCAGCTATTGAACTTGAAAAAAAATTACCAGAGAGTCTGATACATCTTCTCATATTTGGATATTTTACACGAAATGGAACTGTTAGCCTTAAAACAAAGCTTTATGATAAACGTGATGACTTCAACTTTTCTATCGTCACCCTTCCTTTTATTTTCAGCAATATAACCTTGTCATCTACATATAAGGCTCATGTCTTCTGAATTTTCAATAAGGAAGGTTATTCTCTATGTAGGAACAATTTCAAAAATGACACACGCTTTTTACAGACAAGTCGATGGCACTCTGAATAGCCCCCGGATTTTCTCGATTTCTCGATTATGACAAGGATCACACAGCAGGGGTCAGTAAGGCATGCTTAATCCTTCACGACCCTGAACCCATCTCTGGTGATTTTATAGGTCACTGATTTGCTATGCTCCCGAATTGTGTCTTTCAATGGACCTAGGAACATGATTACTTTTCGGTATTTATAAAATTTATTTTTGAAATGAAATCAATCTGGAAAGTTCACTTTCTAGGAAGATCTCAAAAGACAACCTATCGTACCCCTTATTAATGCACACACATTGAATACAATAATGATTCTAACCCTTCTCTGCTAAAGTTTTAGAATTCCAATACATGTAGGGATGAATTAAAAGTCTAGGATCTCTTAACATTCTAAAAAAATAATGAAACAAATTATTTTGAATTTTTGATCGAGAGTAAGCTTTAACAAGAGTACATAACTAGAAAATTGAAAAAATGACAATGTCCTCAAATCTGACGATTTTTTAGCATAGAATACTCGCTTACTTTTATAATAGAGTACCCGGTTACACGGATGGTTTTTTATAGACCTCTAACCACCCTTGCTTGTGGAATATATTCAACTTTCCCCCAACGTTTCGTAAATATTAAAAATAATAAGACAATTTATAAATCATATAAAATATAGCAATATAGGTAATAAGCTCCTTCAAGTTTCCATTTTTACCTGTTGTTAGAGGTCTCACACTATCGAAGTCGTCATCGGTCATGTTACAGTTTATTTTGCAATGTTTATAAACCTCTTGGTTGGTATCATTGTTTGTAGCTCTTGGACAACAAAGTGCTTTCTGTCTTTTCTCGTTACCCAGTGGACATTGTGCCGAACCCTTGCCATGTCCACCTGTGCATGGTGTCCAATTAGTCCAATACATCAAATCACATTCAGTATAATTTTTGCTATGATATGTACAGTATTTTGAAGAAACGTTATAAATTAAACTAAAAACCATCAATGTGCACAGCGCTGCAGTGACTTTTACATTACACATCTTTCGATGAATGTTTGTCAAAAAACATGAAAGATGATTTTCTTAAATAATGCTAAAAACACCCGCCCCTCTTGAGTTCTCTTTTTCGGTAAAAAATACCTGTCAATCAAATCAGGATTATCACAATCCACCCTTAGGCCATAGAATGGAATAATGCCATTCTGAAATGCACATGCACGTGTCTTTCAATGGAAGCAATAATTGAATTCTTTTACGGATATAAAATCCAGCAGTAATAACTTCAATGGTTTAGTCTGCATTCTATCACTTCAATATTTTGGCTTTCAGTATCGCAGAGACAAAATATCTTTTTATGATTGAATAAGATAAATTAGCCAATCCTTCAATAAAAAACAATCCTGAAATCAAAGGTATTCATATCAAATCTTTATAAATTGTTATTTACATTCATTGTTTATAAAGCTTGGAACTGAGCAAAATCTTGATATAAATAAAATGTTGATCACAGTGAACCTCAACGATCACATTTTCTCACATAAGCCTCAAACTTCACACCCTAGGTGTCTATTATCTTTATGCCAATGCAGGCTTTTTCAGCTGTTATCTTGATATAAATATTATCAATTTTTACTTATTTTGATGTTATAAAAAGATGCATGAATGGATGTATAGTAACAGAAAGCGCAGTTTATATTTCTGTCATGATAGTAAGACGACACAAAACAATTAAACAATGAAATATACCAGAACGATATTTGAGGCATACAAAACTGGTGAAAAAAAAGTAGAAAAAAGACAGTGAATAATCTCAAGAAATCAATAGACAATACAACACTTCGAGGGAAGAAAAACACATGGACATCCGGGGATTCTATAGATGGGATCAGGTGCCTAGGAGGAGTAATCAGCCCCTGTTTACCGATCACACCCGCCGTGAGCCAGGAGGTATGTATTGATTAAGTAGACCTAAAAATTCCTAAGGCAAAAGTTGCATCAAAATGAAGACCTATGAATTGGTGTGAAATATATTTCAGCCAAATTAAGATTAAATGGTGTTATTTGTTTATAAGGTCACTACAAAGACCATCAAATTTACGAAATGATGACTTTAAACAAAGTTGAAATTTTTGAAATATCACTTAATTTGTCAAAAAACATGTACCTGTAGCTCTCTCCTATTTTTCGAGGAAGGCTCTTATTCCTAATTTGATGTTTTGTATCCTACAGTTTTGGATAGTTATTCAAAATGTCTACAAAGTGTTAAACTAAAACGGTTCATTGAGAAAACGATAGGCAATTTGAACAATTAAACAAAGAGACATAGAAAACATTAGGGGTCTTTAGTCAATAGGTAAATTATATCTTCATGTATTCCTACTTTTTGAAAATCAGTTTTGAAAAGGTAAGATTTTCGATGGGAACAGGCAGAATTTCTGTTAACAAAATTTAATGATCAACTTTATAAACATAGAAGTACTGTATAAATATGCTTTTTTTTGTCTTTTATATACAAAATAAAGGTTAATCTAAAATGGAATGTAAATAGCATATTTGCTGAAACTATTTAAAGAAATTAACTATGAAAAATTATATTGCTATTTGCAAGTGTGAATAGGTGGAATTGAAAGTTGTTTTTTTTAAAAGTGGGAATAGGTAGAAGACACCTTCAATACGTTGCTATCCTACCCCTGCCCAACTTAGATCATTTTTTTTTTATCTTTCATGTACCAAGCAAATTTAAGCTTTCATAAGAAATTAGGTACTGTAAATAGAAAAAACAATCCACTGTTACCTCAAATGCATGTTTTACAATCTTTTTTTCACCGAGAGGCTTATTGTGAAAGATGAAGAGATAAGATTTATAATTTTCTCTAAAGAAGTTGCTGCATAATATCGATTGAAGTTGGTCAAGAGTGACACGGCAACCTGTTGGCCCTGGACCCCTAAAATTGTGTTTTTCATTACGTTGTGAATAAAGGTAATCACTTAAGTTGATAATCATATATAGAAAATCCAATAATAAGATGAGTTTTTATCTATGTAGTTTTTTAAAATAAAGTTTTCTAACAATCTCTACCTACTGCACTACTGTTATAAGCAGACTTATTTTTGCACTCATATGAAGCAGAATTTGTTTTAAAAACTTCTACGCTAGAAAAAGATAACACTTGTTGTGGCCTTCAACTCGACATTGAGATAAAGCGACTACGTATCATCAATAATCAAAAATTGCTTTCACATGTCTGTTTTATCCATTCATATTTAGATATTTTACTGCATGGAAAAAGACGTTACTGCTAACATAATACAACAACAAAGCTTTATGATAAACGCGAAGACCAAATTTTCTATCGTCACCTTTATAACGTAACGTAACCTTGTCACCTGCATATGAAGTTTATGTCTTCCGAAGATTCAATAAAGAATGACATGTTCTATGTACGAACAATTTGTAAAACGACACACGCTTTTTAAAGACAAGTCCACGAAATACTGAATTGCCCCAGAATCGAATGGACTTTAAAGAAAAAGTCTGTCGATCAAATAAGAGTTATCGTTATCCACCCATAATGCATAAAGTGAGTATCGGCATTCTGAAATGCACTTGCACGTGTTTTCTAATGGAAATAAGTATTGAATTCTTTCACGAAAACAATATCAAGCTTGAATTCTGTATTCTAACACTTTAAATACATGTAGTTTCATTATCGTAGAAACAAAATATATTTGCAAGATTTAATGATAGATAATTAGATAAACCAATTCTTCAACTTTTTAAAAGGACTTTCTAATATCATAGGAATTTATTTGATATCTTTATAAATTATCATTTACATTCATTATTTTTTGCTTGGAACTAAGCGAAATCTTGCAATGAATAAAATGTTAACATCGATTCATGCATTTTCTTATATAGGCCTAAAATGTACACTCTAGATGTTTAGTATGTTTATGTCATTGCTATGGCAAGCCCTTTTACTATTTATTCGTGTAATAAAAATTTTCTTTCAATAAGAGATATCTCTTTAGCATATAGAGATATCTCTTTAGCTTAAAGAGATATCCCTTTGACTAATAGAGATATCTTTATACCTTAGAGAGATATCTCTTTAAGCGAGAGAGATATCTCTTAAAGTTAGAGAGATATCTCTTCAACAAGGTTAACAGATATATCTTTCTTGGTTAGAGAGATATCTCTTTAGATTTTCAAAAAGAGATATCTTTCTCAGCTAAAGAGATATCTCTTTTAATGAAAGAGATATCTCTTTACCAGTGATCCTTAAATAAGAATAATTAATCATCCTTTCAAATGAAAGCGAAACAGGAAGTATATAAAGTTTCTGGAATAATTTGAATTCGCTGTTTTGAGAAAAAAGACTGAGCATAAAATATGTACTATGTAGACAACAATGCTATATAAATCTCTTGTTTGAAACAAGAAATAATAATGGCAACTTCGTTGATAAACATGCTAAAAGTTTAATATAAATTTATGAAAACGAAAGTAAGCATAAAATCTCAAATGCAATGGACCGAATTTTCTCAGCTTATGAAATAATCAACTATTATTAATTTGAAATCTAGACAACACTGAATTACTTGTCATGTTAATTAAAGCTATAATGTAGATATCATGAATATGCCGAATTTTCAATGTACTTTAATTAAATGTACTTCCGTAAATAAAAGTTTACTTCCGGTAAAGGGAGAATTAATTAAAATCGCAATTTGAATAAAAATAATGAAGAGAGATATCTCTTTGCAATAAAGAGATATCTCTTTTTGCTTGAGAGATATCTCTTAAAACACTTTTGAAAGATATCTTTTAAGATAAACTAAGAGAGATATCTCTTTTACTTTGAGAGATATCTCTTTAACTTGGAAAGATATCTCCCTAAGTAAAAGAGATATCTCTCTAGGTGAAAGAGATATCTCTTTAACGTTCAAAGATATCTCTTTTCACGAAAGAGATGTCTCTCTAAGTGAAAGAGATATCTCTCTTACGTTCAGATATATCTCTTTTCATGAAAGAGATATCTCTCTAAGTTTAAGAGATATCTCTTTCTGAGAGATATCTCTGTAATTTTAAGATAAATTTTATTTTTCGAATAAATAGCAAAAGGGCTTGCCATACATTGCAGCCTTTGCCAGCTGTAATTTTGATTAAAACAGTTTCAATCTGAACTAATTTCTTTGTGGTTTATAAAAATGATTTGTGAATGGATGTAAAATTACAGAAATTGATCTCTATGTAACATTTTTTACTGCCATATTATGTAGACGACATGAAAACAATATAAAGATGAAATAAACCAGAATACACTAAACCAAACTTCTAAGTGTTCACCTAACATTTTTTAAGTTTTAAAGAACAAATGCTTACAATAGATAATTTCTTTAATTCATGGTTAATGATGCATATTTCAGTTCAATGTTGCGTAAATTTCATGTAAGTCATTTCGTCAGAATTTTAGGCAAAGTTCCAAGGACACGGTGTAACATCAAAATGAAAATTCACTTCAAATAATCTCTATGGAGTTATACCACCACTTGCTCTAATTACTGCAAGATATCCTTTTCTCATAGATACCATGTACTCCTAAATAGGAAGTTGGCCCGTCTGCTGCCACACCTTCTGAATGGATCTTTCTAAACCGTTGAAATTGTGTGGAGGTGGGTTGACATTCCTTATAAAAATCTGAAATGTGTTCAATGGGATTCCGATCCGGGGATTTGGCAGTGCATCATCACACAGATGCCTTTTGGTCAATATTTCGGCCTTTAGCACATGTACCGCTTTAAGGATAATTCAGACTGTTTGAGATGATATTACTGTCACGAGCACCAATGTCTTATCAATTTCTCGCGATTGAAGTTATTGTTTTAATGTGCCCAAATTTGTTTCAGGACAGTGTAACAATATTTAGCCTGGTTGTGACGCGAAATCTTGGCCTCAGACGAAGATCCAGATCACTTCCGGTTTGGTTAATTTTTGTC